TATATAACCGTAGATTACTTGTAAACTAGCATTGAGGTACTACATAACCGTAAATTACTTATAAACTAGCTTTGTGGTATGACATAACTGTATATTACTTGCAAAGAAGCATTGCGCTACTACGTAACCGTATAATACTTGTAGACTACTAATTTGGTATTATATTACCATATATTATTTGTAAACTAGCATTGTGGTACTACATAACCGTATATTACATGTAATCTAGCAAATCAGTACTACAAAAGCGTATAATACTTGTAAACTAGCATTGTGATACTACATAAAGGTATATTACTTATAAATTAGCAGTGGTACTACATAACCGTATATTACTTGTAGACTAGCATTGTGGTACGACCTAACTGTATATTACTTGCAAAGAAGCATTGTGTTACTACCTAACCGTATATTACTTGTAAACTATCATTGTGTTACTACATAACCGTATATTACTTGTAAACCAACATTGTGGTACCATAACCGTATATTACTTGTAAACTAGCATTGTGGTACTACATAACCGTATATTACTTGTAAACTATCATTGTGGTACTGCATAACCGTATATTACTTGTAAACTATCATTGTGGTACTATATAACCGTACAGTACTTGTGAATTAGCATTGTGGTACTACATAACCGTACATTATTTGTAAATTGCCTTGTGTCACTACATAACCGTATATTTCTTGTAAACTAGCATTGCGGTACTACATAACCGTAGATTGCTTGTAAACTAGCATTGTGGTAATACATAACCGTACATTATTACCTGCCTTCATCCGCCCGCCAATCAAACACAAACTCTAGAATAGGAACATTTGGGGATTTTTGCGGTACCATGAGCCATGTACGACCGTCGTCAGTATGATGAAAATTTTTCGCAGAAGCTCATTCAACTCGACCGGTGGTATGTCTTCGAGGCGCCGCAATTATCCGGTATTCTGAGTTAGCCACTTAGTGCAGCGACGAAAATCACGTTCGGTGGTTTTAACGGTACTTTGCTTCTGGTGTGCTATTACAAAACCGTCCACTTCGTACTTCATTTTCTGGTGCTGGTCAAAAAATGTCATCAGGTTGGCCCTGTCCTATCGATTGCAACCACTGCATAATATCCATTTTGCCTGCTGCAGCTATTATCGTCTGCAGGTTGTCAAGGGAACCGGTTAAAATAATGAGTAAACATATCCATCCGCAGTGCCAAACTTATCGATTAACGTGATTGCATGCAAAGCTTTGTTACTGCTCATGAAAAAAGTACCCTTTTACCAATAAGAATTACCTTTAAATATTAAAATATAAACCCTGTACTCTGTATGTTATTAAAGGCATGTAATAAAATATTTTAGCCCGAATATGGGCGTCAGTGTCCTCGCACAACGCACAAGGAGATCATTTGTTCCCCCCCCCTAACGTCGGGAAAATGGTCACCTGCGCTCGGGCACAAACGCCCATATTCCGGCAGTAATATATTTTACTTGTAAGCGGGCATTGTATCAGCTAAATAACTGAGAACGCAACACAGCAAAATTTCAGACTATTGAGGAGTTACCGTGAATGTCATAATAACGTCGTTACAATAAAAATTACTTGTTCGCCAAATAATGACAGTCCATGCATGCCGCATATCGAATTGCAAGAAAAGATCACCGAACTGTGAAGTCGTCATTCAACAACAATCACCAAACAATTCAAAACATTTTAGACAGCGAAATTAACAACAATTACCAACGTGTGAGTGCTGCGTAATTTTCTGTTTGATCGATACTTGGGTTTTCGCGTCACGTCATAGCTACCTGTTACATAACACGAACTATATGTATGTTCTCTTCAAAACGTTATTCAGATTCCTAGAAAATTTGAAACACTTACCCGGTATTTGTCTCTCTTCTGGAAACCGACGTAGCATTGGCTGGTCCGGAATCTGTTTTTTTTTAAAGGTTTAATGTTTCGGCACTTTTTCATGATGTTTTATTATAAATGCCTAGTCCAGCTTTTTCTCATTGATTTTACGGCTTTCGTCCAGTGATGTCACACATTCGGATCGTTTGGAAACGCGCAAATTCTCACAACACTACACGCACTGCTGCATCCGCCAAAAATACAACGTTTCAACAAAAATGCGCCGACCGAAAAATATATATCGTTAATAGTATCGTTGAAGGACGCATTAATATAAAAGTATAGCAAAGGAGTATGGCTTCGTCTCATATTTTGGTATTTGGTGTTTTACTTTGGCGCGAATTTACTCGGATATGAGTAATCACTTTTAACAAAAAATCTTCCTATTCACAAACTGCCTATTTCACAAATAAAAAACTAGAATTGTGTTGGCAGACATTTCAAAGGGAACTTTAAATAAAAAAGAAAGTATAGTGAATAATATAGTACAATTTGATGCAAATGTGATAAAAAAGTTGGAAAATCTGCTGATACATTTAACTAGAATTATAGTTTCTATATTAATATATTTATGCGCTACGTAAACAGGTCACGTGCGTCACAACGATCGCAGATATATTACTGGCACAAGCCAGGACACGTGCTTTCAATCACTGGAGTAGAGAAGTTAAGTGTGTGTTAAATAATCATTGACTAAAAGAGACCCGCTGGCTTTGAAGCAAATAGTGAATAAACAAAACATGATTTAATTTAACAACATTCTCCCACTTATATTTTGATATATTTTGTATTTATTATTTAAAGCGGGATCTGTGAACTGTTATCTTTATATTTTTTGTTGTTGCAACTAGTAGTAGATCTAAATGTATATCAGCTGTCGTATAGGAGTGCTCTCTATTTGTTTCCTCCTTAGGAATGGACCGAATTCGTCGAATCGGCTGAAGAAGGAATTGTAGTATTTACACTGGGTTCACAGGTTAACATTGGCGAAGACCCCGAAAAAGCATCAAAGTTTGTTAGAGCTTTTGCTAGATTGCCCCAAAGAGTTATTATGAAATACGTGGGGAAGCCACTAAACGGAGTCGGCGAGAACACCAAACTTAGCAGTTGGATTCCACAAAATGACCTCCTAGGTAATAAATAGACAATCTATCTCACAAGTGGCCCTGGATTTGTTCTGTAACACATCCAGGTATCGAGAATAAACTAGATAGATATCATTCCAACATATGTTTATTTATATGTTGATGTAAAATCACAGTTTTTCAGTTCTTTTTTCCCTGTTGTATATACAAAATAAACTTAACTTTAGAACAGTACACAAATAATGTGTTATGGTGTATACATATTCAGAATAACTAACTTGCTATTTATGGATTGATCAAACATCATTATGATTGCTCTGACTTACTCCATCTGTGCAATAGGTCACCCAAATACCAAAGCATTCGTAAGCCATGGAGGTATCAATGGAGTAAACGAGGCTATCTACCATGCAGTGCCTTTCGTTGGAGTGGCGGCAGTTGGAGATCAGGCTGAGAATGTAGGAAGATTGGTCGACAAAGGTATGGCAATTGCCATAGATCTACAATCATTTAGTGAAGATGATGTCTACAATGCTGTGAAAAGGGTTATTGAAGACCCTAGGTAAGGGCTTTTCATGTGACCGACTGCCTGCTAATCAATACTTAAGTTTAGTATACAATGTTATAATTAAATTTGTGGCTCTCATGGGCCTTTTTGAAAAAAAGGAAAACTTGAAGATTGCACACATACTGATTTTTAGCACGAATTATTTTTGGTAGGTACAAAGACAATGCCGCTAGATTATCCAGTATCCAGAGAGATACTCCAATGCCTCCAGGAGATACAGCTGTATATTGGATTGAACACATTTTGAAGTTTGGCGGTGATCACCTCAAACCAGCATCCCTCCAACTGAATTTAATCCAGTATTACCTTCTCGACATTGCCTTATTTTTACTAGCCGTAGCAGCCATTGCTACTATTATCTTAAAGCAAGTGATAAGAATGGTCTTTAAAATCTGTTGCAGACCTAATAATGTCAAATTGAACAGAAAGAAGAAACAGTGATGGAATTCAATTAATTGCAGTCCTAGTAATTCATTCATATTTACTAACTTTAAATCAAGCTGTATGAGAATGATTTTCAGTATTGTTCAAACTGCATATTAGAGAGAATAAAACCTGGTCGTAAATGGCCGTCGAGGACTCAGCAAGAGAACCACGTGACTTGTTTTTGCCAAGCCTCTATAGGATTCCAATCTTTAACGCCATCTCCGGTAACTTGAATAAAGTGTAGATGTACTTAAGGTAACGAGACTATTATTTGCATATTTGATTTCATCTTCTAATTGTGACTAAATGACTACAAACAGATCCAGGAAAGTGTATATTGTTGGAATTTCAAAAGTGTGTTTTTCATGTCCGTATCTGCATTCTACGACGCGTTACTCAATCAAAGGTAAAACATTACTTTTTCTGTAATAAAAATAATTACCCATTTATGCTGGTGATAAGAAGTTTTTTTTACTTTTCCTAGTTGTTCAATAGTCTGGTAAATTGAATGTGTCTTGTCATTTTAATTCAAGCAATGCGTTTTAAAAAGTAGTGTGCTGAATTCTAATTTCCGTTTTAGTCGTATTGTCCCCCCCCCACCTCAAACCACAACACGTTGGTAAATAATCGATGAAATAGTTTGTCTGGACACATTGAAGTTTCTCTCATTGTCACCTTAAAGTTGTGAACATTTGGTGTTAATCCGACGGCAATAAGTATACGCTATTTTTCGTTAAAGACCTTGTATTTTGAAAAAAAAAAATAAACTCCTAGAAAACGCCCATGAAGTCACAGCAAAGATTCAACTTCTTTATCGACACAATCGACTTGTTTTTCCTTCAAGGTCTGTTTTAACATGTGTAGGGGCATCCAAATGTGTAATGTTATTTTAAACCAAAAAAATAAAGGAATGTGATAGCTATAATTCGATAAAATCGGCAGATGAGAACACCAAAACCAATGTCTTTGTGTGTCAGAAAGCCACTGATAACACGTCCTTACAGTGCTTTGTTTTGAGTTTATCATTGAAACTTATAGGCACACAGATTAGACCTGTGATTTTGGAAAAAAAAAACTACTGAGGCTGCCTTGCTTCACTTCAGAAAATCAACATTTTAACCAACTTACATGACATTCTATGTTATGTTGATTTATCATATTAAAGTTTATATTGCATTTCATCAATTAATAAATCGTACTTTTCAACACAAATAATAGTCTCGCTACCTTAACTATAGACTTTTCGCATTACTTCCTAGCTATCTAATGTGTAATGTTATATAAATCATTCAACAGTAACACAAGTTTTATGATGTTACCCTGGCTTTCAAGAAGGCGCATTTTTATAATGTTTAGATAATTTATTCCGTACTGTAGGTCATCGTGTTATATACATTAAGGGAAGGTACAAAACAAATACGTAACATTATGCCAAAGGAATTCCCTTTTCAATTTCGTGAATAATGATATTTTTTTCAGTTGCCCGATCAACTCTACTTGTAGCCATATGTCTAACGATCCAGTTCTATGTTCGGATCTCAGGATTATTGCACAACTAATATTAGTACTCCAGTCCAGTTTAATATCAGG